CACACACACACACACACACACACACACACACACACACACACACACACAGCATTGTCTACCTTTAGCTACTCACATCTGGACCAGAGACACCTCTCTACTAAAAGGAAGTAAACCAGCCAGCTTCACAATTAAGCTTTGACTTAATTGTGATTAATTTTGGAGTCAATCTCTCTTTGGATCTTATTCTTCCATTACCCACATATCCTGGAGAAGCATCCTGAACTATGCAACCTTGCAATCAGAGGCTTCTCAGTCTGGGTTACCTTGACTTTTCCCTGAGATCTAAAAATAAAAAGAGTAATTATTTTCCATCTCCTGATTGGCAAACAGGTACCTTAAGCTTCAACAGTTCTGATTAAAAGCATTTAGAACAACAATAACTTTCCCTAAAGTGGCAGGGAGGGGGGAGATCCAAAGCAGCTTTACCTACAGTGGTAGCAGGTTGCAGATATGCCACCCAAGAGTACCAGAACAAATGCAAATCTTCATGCAAATCCATTCTCCACACCCCACACATTTCCCACCTTGAGCCCACCAGACCCTGACTACTCTCAGTAATCAGGGACTTAGCCTCTCTTGTTCTTCCAAACCAAACTAATTTAGTGAAGGACAGAGTTGGAGGAAGAGGGAAGGAAGAGGGGAGGGGTGGTGGGGTGAGTGTGTGTGTTGTGGGGGGGGTACACCAGGGGAGGAAGACTGTGTCCCCAGGAGATAAGGAATTTATTGCAAGGAAAGTATGGGTGATTACAGTGCCAGCCTGTTCTGTTTGCTTGACAAGGGGCTGAGAGGGATAATACTCAGAGCCTTCTCATTGTCTGTCCTTCCCCTAGAGTTTTTAGAATCCAAAAGCCAGAAGGGTTTCATAAAAAGCATTTAATCCAGGCCTGCACAACCTGCAGTCAACCAAAGGATTTCGGCCAGCCTTCGAAAAATGTAGAGGAAAACATCCATTCGAAGGTTTCCTGAAATTCTTTGGCCTGCCATAAATGGCCCATGGGCCACAGGTTGTGCAGGCCTGATAATCCATTCCTCTCATTTCACAGAAAAGGAAACTGAAGCATAGAGAGTTGACCCAACTTCCCCAAGATCACACAGCTAGTAAGTGGCACAATTGAGACTACAAACCAGGTCTTCTGATGTTTAGACCAGTGTTCTTTCTACTACCCTGACCCAGGCATCATGAGAGCTAGAGGAGGTATTTGGATTTGGCTATCATGGGAAGAAGAGGCTCTACAGGTTTAAAGGACTCAGGAAGGGCCATCTTCTGTCCCTGAGATTGGAAATTTGGGCAAAGACTTTCGGGTTTCAGAAGATGCAAAATATTTTCCCATCTTTCTTTCCTTCCTGAGCCCTTGCTTAAGGAAAACACTGCTACTGGGTGTGAAAGGTAAGTAGTATTACATTGAGAAAACAGACAAATGCTGGTCCTTTGCACTGCCTTACTCTCTCTTCCTGGTTCAGGGAGCTCTCCCCTCCCCACGTCCTACAACTGCCCTAAAGACCAAAGCTTGATATTGTACACTCTTGGTAATCTCCTCAGCACTACACTCCTTCTCTGGGCCAGATGTTTTATCAGTGGATAACACCCACCTCAACCCTAAAGTGTTGTTCAGAGCTTGCTTTCTGAGGGTGCTACAATCCTTTTCCCGCGCTTTACAGATATCAGACTCAAAGCTCTGTGGGAGATAGGAAATTTTCAGAAATATTTGAAATGACATCAGAAGAATTCAATTCAATAAGCATTTATTAAATATCTATCATACGGTCAAATCAACAAGCAGATATTAAGTGCCTACTGTGTGCCAGGCACTGAGCTAAGCATAAAGGATACAAGAAAAAGCAAAAGACACTCTCTGCTCTCAAGGAGCTCACAATCTAATGGGAGAGATAACAAACAAACAAAAGGACAGTACGCACTTAATATGGACCAACAGGGTCTCTACAAGATATATATACAAGATCTATACAGGATATATTGGAGAGATGATAGAAGGAAGGCACTAGCATTAAGGAGGAGCAGAAAAGACTCCTTATAGAATGGGATTTTAGCTGACAGTTGAAGGAAGCCAGGAAGGCCAAGAGATAGAGATGAGGAGGGCCAGAGTTGTAGGCATGACGGACAGCCAGTGAAAATTCGTGGAGTTGGGAAATGGAGCGTTTTGTTCAAAGAATGGCAAATTGGTCAGTGCCCCCGCATGGCAGATATGTTGAGTGGAGAAGACTGGAAAGATAGGAAAGGGCTGGGTTATGAAGGGTCTTAGACACCAAATAGAGATTTTTATATTTGATATGGGAGGTGATCAGGGAACTGTCGGAGATTATTGAATCAAGAGGTGCTATATACATATCACTTCGACAATAAAAATAGAAGATATTGTTTTTGCCTCCAAGGATCTTACAGCTTTGTTGAGGACACACAGCTAGTGTATAATCAAGTGCAAAGGGTAGTGTCCCATGGAGGGGATAAAATGCTGGGCTTGCAGTTAGGAGGGAAGAGCATTAGATTGGGAGTCTTTTAGAGAGCAGTTGTCTTTTACCATTCTTTGTAACATCAGGTTTAGCGAAGTGCCTGACACAGAGTAGGCATTTAATAAATGGCTATTCACTGACTTAGAACCTTGATGACATTCATTGTGTGATCCTGGGCAAATCATTCAACCTTTTTGATTCTCAATTTTCTCATCTTTAAAATGGGGTGGAGGAAAAGGGAGGAAACAATAGGGATTACATTTAGGCTATTGGGAAGATCTATAGAAAGTAAACTTTAAAGCTAAGTATAAGTATCAGCTCTTAGAAGTATTCAGTGTGAACTGAGTAGAACTTAAAAACCAATTAGAAAGCATTGGGAAAGGGGTATGGGAAAATGAGGGAATTAGCTTAATAAATACTATACGCCAGGCTTTTACAAATATTATCTCATTTGATTTGTTGTTATTCAGTCATTTCAGTCATGTCCAGCTTTTTGTGACCCAATTTGGGGTTTTCTTGGCAAAGATATTGAGTGGTTTGCCATTTCCTTCTCCAGCTCAGACTGGGTTAAATGACTTGCCCAAGGTCACACAGCTACTAAGTGTTTGAAGCTGGATTGACTTCAGGCTCAGTAGAGTTGAGTGCCCAGCTGTCAGGGAGTATCTGAGTTGGAAATGAGTATTGCAGGCATAGTTTATCTTTAATCATAGAGATGTGATCTGTCTTGGAATACAAAGAAGGAATGCTAAAGTACAATTTACTCATGTTTTTCCTGTTACCTCTTTGCACATAGTAGGCACTTAATAAATGAGTGCTGAATTGACAGAAAAGAATCATTTATCACCAGCTTTTGTAGTAGCAGGTTTACACACTCAGTTTGCTAGTCTCTGGAGAGTCCAGAGACAAAAGATTGGCTTCATTCAAATCTTCTGCTTAAGGGAATTAAAAGGTGTTAATGGGATGTGAGATTGGGTGGTGACCTTGGAGCAGAAAAGAGACAATGGCAATCCCACCCACAAGGGGAGGAGGTATGAGGACTAACCTTTGCTATGAAAGGAGACCCCCAGTAAATTGAGAAAGAAGGTCCTGAAGAAGAGCTCTAGAGGACAAAGGCAGAGTAGAGGAGGCTGAGGAGGCAAGAAGCAGGGGAAGCAGGGGAGGCAGGGGAGGCAGGGGAGGCAGGAGAGGCAGGAGAGGCAGGAGAGGCAGGAGAGACAGGAGAAAGAGGAGACAGAGGAGAAACAGGGAAGAGAGGAGGTCTAGGGGAGGCAAGGAGCAACGGAGGGAGGGGAGAGAAGAGGCAGGGGGGAGAGGGAAGGCAGGGGAGAGAACGGGCCAGCAGGAAGCAGGAGAAGCAGAAGAGGCAAGAGACTGACTGATCCAGAATAATTTCTAGAGGGAGTAGCTGAAGGCCAGGACCCATGATGAGAGCAAGTCTCTAGTTGTCCTGTCTTCAGACCCTCTTAGACTCTTAAGGACTTCCAGTCAGAGAAGGCTGGCCTGGGGGTGAGAGATAAGACTGGAAGCACATTTTCTGTGACTGTTATCCCCTCTGAAAAATGGGAATCCTTGTCTCTTCCCTCTTCCTTTACCCTTGTGGAGAAAGGAATATGGATCAGCTAAGATTCTTGTAGGATGAAAATACCAGCTCTGATTTCACAACATGACTGTTGAGGTCTCATGTGATAACTATTCAATTTTGAAGGGCATTATGGTATAGTAGGGAAGATTCGAATCCCTCACCTCTGACCATTTTGAAAAATGGGAATGACTTGATTTGCCCTACCTAAATCAGGTTTTTGTGAGGAAAGTTCACAAAGTACTGTATTAATGTGAGTCCTGCAGGAGGAGGTAGTAGAAAGGGAAGATTCCCACTTTTCTTGCTAATTTTGGAAGGAGCCCTGGATTTGGAATCAGAATATGGTTCAAGTCACAACTCTGCCACTTACTACCTTTGCTTGTGCAAGTTCCATAAACCCTTAGTCACAGGGTTTCCTCAACTGTAAAATTAAGATGACAAAATTGCCTGACTTGTTTTTCCAGGATTGTTATAATGAATGTGCTTTAAAAGCATTACAAAAGTGTGTTATTGTTGCTGTTGTCTTTATTTCAGCTCCAGAAAGGTGATTAAAAATGCCTCGTTCTTTCCTGGTCAAGAGTAAAAAGGCTCACACTTACCATAAACCTCGAGCCCATCATGATGATCTACTATGGGCTCACATCCCCCCTTCAGGTGAGCCAGGTGAGCCTTCTTTTGGGACCTCTTGGGTAGACACTAGAGTTCATAGATTCACACATTAAGATTTTCCTTCCTTTTTTCATCCCTAAGCTTTACATTTATCTATCTTTCACAATCCTTTCTAACTCCCAGGAATAATTGAAGACTTGAGATTCTATCTGCTCTGGAAATCTTTCTAGAATTTCATGGGTGTGGTATTGTGGAAAGCACATGCTAAAGATGGAGTCAGAGGCCCTGGGGTTCAAATACCTAGCTCTGCTGCTTATTATCTGTATGGGTTTTTTTAACCTCTCTGGATCTCCATTTCCTTAGCTGTAAAAGGAATTGGACCAGATGGCCTCTGAGAGCCCTTATGGCTCTAACTATATGATCCTACATTAAGGGAGTGTCCATCAGTTAGGAAATGGCTGAACAATTGATGGTACAGAAATGTGATGGAATACTATTGTGCTGTAAGAAATGGGGATGAGAGAAACCTGAGAAGATTTTTATGAAGTGAAGCAGAATCAACTGAGCATAACCTGAGCAATTTATACAATGACTGACCCACAATGTTATAAAAACAGACAAATTTGAAAGACTCACTAATCATTAATCTCAATGCCAGGGGGTTACTCATGATGAAGCATGCTATCCACCTCCTGATAGAGAGGTAAAAGACTCAAGAGAATGAAACTTTTTTTTTTGACTTGGCTAATTTGGGATTTTTTTTTTTTGCTTGAATATATATTGTAACAAGGGTTTTGTTTTTCTTTCCTTCTCATTGGAAAGTTGGAAGGGTGAGAGAGAGTAGGCAGATTTTTGCTGATTGAAAAAAAATGTAAAGAATTATGATCCTAGTCAGAATGTAGTACTACTTGTGGGGTTCTTGGGGCGTAGTGAGATCTTCAGCTGATCTCTATTTTGATTTCTTTGTGGGAGTCTCTGTTGTCTTCCCTTTTTGATGCTTTGGTCCCACACAGAGAGCCTTTAGAGGACCTTGGCTCAGAAGAAAGAGAGAAGTAAAGGAAAAGCTTGTGTCTATATCTCCTGGGAAATATGTGAATTCAATTACAATGTTCCCTATTGTTTACAAAGTAAAATTCAGTCTCCTATGCCTGGCATTCAAGGCCATCCATAATCTGGTACCAGCTTGCCTTTTCAGCCTTATCTTATACTATTAATAAAAGGAAGTGTGGTACCTTGAAAAAATCATCTGGGTTTGAATTCCGATTCTGCAACTTATCTATGTGACCAGGGGCAGCCCACTTTAATCTCTGCAAGCCTCAGTTTCCTCATCTGTAAAGGGAGGGGGTTGGTCTAGATCAGAGATGTCAAACCAAACCACCAGGCTGCATCACTCAGAACCAGATTAAAATGTAATTGGGAAATATTTAACAAAATAAATAAAAAGACAATAGAACATAGATGATGATAATGTGTAGCTTTTTTAATCAGTAGGTGGCTAGCCAGGATCCTTATGTGCAATTTAGTGTCCCCAGTTCTTTCTGAGTTTGATACCACTCATCTAGAAGACTTAAGTTCTGTTGACAGCTCTAAAATTCTTGATCCTATTCTAGTCAAACTAGATTGTTCTCCCTCCCCATTCTGAATAAATCCTGATCTCCCCAACCCTCAATCCTACCTTGGCTAATGACATTGTTCCCTGTGACTATATGTTTTTTCCCCTATCCTTCCCTATTTAATTTGTATTGAATTTTGACTTTAAAATCCAAGTCAAAAGTCACCAACCTCCTTCCTTATCATCCTTGTGACTTCAAACTTCATGTGAACTTTAGGAATTCCTGTAACACTTTGTCTTCTACCTCTATATGCCTCATGTTCCCCAAACTACACTGTGAGTGCCATAACACTGGGATGTCATTTTATCTCAGCTTTATGCATCCCTTAGCACCTAGTACGGAGCTCTACAAACAGTAGGTGTTAGTCAGATGAATCAATTTGTTGCTTATCAAGCAATTATTAAGCACCTGGGGGAGGTACAACTTTTAAATATGAAATGGTCCCTGCTCTCAGCTTATATTCCAATGGGGAGATATGACTTACACAGGTTAACATACAACAATGCATAAAATAAAATAAGTGTATTAGAGAGTCACCAAAAAAAATGTTTTCCGTAAGTTTTGGGGGATGGTGCTGGTAGTGGTAAATGTTCCCAATTAAAGAGAAGGGAAGGCTTCCTGGAGGAAGTGGTGTTGGGAAGTTGGAATTTCAATCCCATGCCCCCATCCTCTCTCCCTTCAGGTCAGAGGACAATGGATTGCTATTACCAAAGTTCTCTTCCCTTAGATGGTATTTCCTTCAGAGTTCACCCCCTTGGAAGGGAATTGCAGATGTGATTGCCTCTCAAAGTATTTCTTGCCCTGCAGTTACCACCAACCAGGTCCTGGGGGACACCACAACTTTTAGTAGCCCAAACCAACGTCCAGACTGGGATGGCTCCAAAGAAGACAATGAAGTTCAGGGTCTGACCAGTGCAACATCAGTCCCAGGTACATCTTTCAAGCCCCCTTCCCAATCGCTCTGGGAGAACCAAGGTTAATTTACCATACTGACACCCTGAGGCCAGAGGGAGCCAGAAGGAGAAGGCGTGGGTGTGGGTGAAAGGTTGCACTACTCCCACACGGAGGTGGAATAACTAACCTGAAAGTGCTTATTCCAAAGAATGGCAGACCCAAGAGGGTGTTGGCCTTGGATTTCTGGAAGGCTGGGGGAGCAGCCTAGTCCAAGGCAAAGCAGAGGCTGAGATACTCTTGAGGCATCAGGGCTAGATTATGGTTGTTTTTGTTTGTCCTTTGTCCTCCAAGAGGAAGAATAGAGGAGGCGATAGAGAATCCATTCCTTCCACACGGCTTAAATTCAACCTTCTGCAGGAGGCCTTTGCTGGTCTCCCCAAATGCTAGTGCCTTCCTTTTTGAAATTACTTTCCATTTACTCTGTGTGTTTCTTATATGTACCTCATTATTTAAATGCCATCCCCCCACCAAAATGTGAGCTCCTTGAGAGCAGGGACCATCATTGTCTTTCTTTGTGGCCCTAGCATTTGGCACAGTCCCTGCAACATAGTAAGGTTGAGGTCAGAATTTCACCTCTCTCTGCCAATGCAAGTAGTCACCTCTTTGAAACTTAGAGAGAGTTGCTTGGGGGTAGTGAAAGGTTAAGTGACTTGCCCAGGGTCACGCAGTCAGTATATGTCAGAGCTAGGTCTTGAACCCAGGTTTTCTTGATTGTAAGGCCAGCTTTTTAGGAACTACCCTATGCTTCCTCATATTAAGCATATAGTTCTCTTTTGTTAAATGTTTATTGACCAAGATGCATCCCAGGGGTCCTTACTACTCGAGCAAGACAGGGCATTGGCTACCTGGCAGAGGTAGGCTTTGGTCAGGGTCGAGGGTGGGTGGGATATCACAGTCTTTTCTTTAGGCTCAGTACCCTCCTTACTCAGTAGGGGAGCTATGCAGTAGTTTCTGTCCTCATGTTTCTCCTCTATCCACACCCCAGAGACTTCCATCTTGACTCTCCAGGCCCAGGACCATGGCTTATCTCCTGCCTCACCCTCCTACTACAAACCAAGCTTCTCTTGGGATGCCTTCTCTTCCCCTTATGGCTATGGACAGATTACCTCCACCATGCAATCTGCCTTCCTAGAGAACTCAGTAAGCTTATATGGCAGCTCACTGGTGCCTAGCTCTGATCCTCCCTTGGACTACAGTCTACATTACTCCCCTGGCATGGAAGCCTATCACTGTATAAAGTGCAATAAGGTAAGTCATCAGAGGAAACAGAAGAGATGCACTTTGGATGTCATCTCAGAGCAGGTTATCTGGTCTTTCCATCTTCTACTATGCCTACCTTCTCCTTTACTATCATAGGATGTCCCTGAATTATCTGGTCTTGATTTTGAATCTGGGAGACTGTGGATCTATGATGGGAACCAAATAACTATGGGATTTTAGAGGACCTAAGAACATAGAATATCAAAACTGGGAAGGACCTTAAAATAGGTAATATTAGGGATGGAAGGGATCTTACCTCCTAAGTCAGGGGTTCTTAACATTTTTAGTAACCCTAATCCTTGAAAGTCTGGTGAAACCTATGGACTCCTTCTCAGAATAATGCTTTTAAATTAAAAAAAAAACAACAACCCACATAGGAATACAAAGGAAACCGATTATGTTGAAACAGTTGTCAAAATATGTAAAAAAAAAGTTTAGGAATCCAGGTTAAGAACCCTTGCCTTAGGTTGTTAATTCCTTCATTTCATAGAAGAGGAAACAAAGGTACAGAGGGATTATGTGACTTGCCTGACAACATCATATCATCATTTCCTGTTAGAGTAAAGATTCAAACCCAGGTCTTCTGACTATCAGTCTAGTGAGAAGGAAGGAAAGAAGGAAGAGAGGGAAGCATGGAGGGAGGGAAGAAGGAAAGGAAGGAAAGAAAGGAGGAAGAAAGAGAGGGAAGGAAGGAAGGGAGCAATTTTTGTGAATATCATTTATTTATAGATAACACCTGTATTCCTCTCTCCCTGCTTCCCCCCAGACAGCAATAGAACAAAGGAGAGAAAAAGAAGTAGTAGTTCAATAAAATTAGCCAATACATAAAAAAGGCTGATATTATCATTGCTCAGCAACCACAGTCCCTCATTTCTATAAAGAAAAGGGCAGAGGCAGGGTGTTTTCATCTTTTCTTTTGGACCAAACTTGGTTATTGTAATTTCAAAGTATTTATTTTCTGTTGTTTCATTGTTATTTTTCCATTTTCATTCCATTCATTATGTATATTGCTTTTCTACTTGTGCTTATTTCACCTTCTATCACTTAATAGTGATAGCTAACATTTGTATAATGCTTGAGGTGTGCCAGGCACTGTGCTAAGCCCTTTACAATTATTATCTCATTTGATCCTTACAACAACTCTAGGAGGTAGGAGCTATTATGATCCCCATTTTACAGATGAAGAAACTGAGGCAAACAGAGATTAAGTGACTTGCACAAAGTCACTTAGCCAGGAAGTATCTGCAGCTACATTTGAACTACCAGTCTTCCTAACTCTAGGCTCAGCTCTCTATCCACTGGCGCACTTAGCTGCCCTGAAGACTTTGTCGAAGTTGTCTTATGCTTCTCTATACTCAGTCTAGGGCTCTTCTCACTGCTGCTATGGAGAAGTAGAATAGAATAATCTTGGCTGCCCAAGGCTTGAACCTTTTTTTACTCTTAGGAAACCTACCAGACCACTACTTCAATTCAATCCTGTGGTGGAAGAATTAGCCCTCAGAGGAAACACTTTAGCCTTCACCAACTGTCTTCTCTTTCCCCCATTCCTACCTCCCTGCAGGTATTTCCTACCCCTCATGGGCTGGAGGTTCATGTCCGGAGAACCCACAGTGGGACTCGACCCTTTGCTTGTGAAGTTTGTGGCAAAACATTCGGCCATTCAGTCAGCCTTGAGCAGCATGCTCATATACACTCCCAGGTAGGTGGTTTGCAATGGGTAGAGGGAGAAGGGAGCAAGAATTTTTCTTCTTTCCCTCTCCATTCTGTCCCATCCTAAAAAAAGCAACTCATAGTTGAGGGAGGCAAGAAGAGGAGAGAGGAGACAGATGGGGAATCCTTTTCCATACCCACACCTCAGCCATCTTCATTTCTATTATCTACCTCAATTTGTCTCCTTTTTACCAACACCACATCTCTCTTTCCCTCCCCCCAATCCCCAGGCAGAAAGCCAGGATGCACCATAGATGGCAAAACTCTAGATGTGGAGGAATTGGTCTGAGTTGCCAAGGCTTCCTTCCCAGTCCCCAACTCTCAATATCCCCTTCAGGATATTCTAAAAATCCTCAAAACCATTAAAAATAAGCAGGGCATACATACAGCAAGTACTGTCAGAACATTCACTTATAACCTAGTGACACCTCTCCCCCTCTACGCCATGAAGATAGAAATGGGAACCCTAATTTCCTAGGTCCCCAGTGTTCTCAAAGTCATCCCAATTGAGTCTCCTGTTCCTCAGGGGATCCCAGCTGGGTCCAGTCCTGCTCCAACGTTCACTATAAATGACCCTGAGGTCCCGCCTGCACCTGACCCCCCGGGCCCCCGTTTCCTCCGGCAGGAGAGGAGCTTTGAATGTAAGATGTGCGGCAAAGCTTTCAAGCGCTCCTCCACTCTGTCCACCCATCTCCTCATCCATTCGGACACACGGCCTTACCCCTGCCAGTACTGTGGCAAGCGCTTCCACCAGAAATCAGACATGAAGAAGCATACCTACATCCACACTGGTAAGCTCAGTACACCTACACAAATACCAAAACCCAGAGAGGTTCAGCTCTCCATGTTCTGGGGGGTAGGGTTATCTGTGGCATTTGCTTCATCCTAGACTGTAGTCTGCTTCACTCAAGAATGTTTGTAGACCTGACATTGTTGTGTGAGTGTGAATGTGTATTCAAAAGGGTACAGCCTTTGATTAATATTGGCCTCAGCCAAGCCACTTTGGGAGATCAAACGAATTGAAAAGAAGAACCAAAGTAATTATCCTGACCAGTTTTGTATCATCAATACCATTACTCCCCAGCCCAAGCTCTGAAAGAGAGGCTAAGTCCCAAGAATAGGGGTAGGAAGGCTAAAGATCAAGGAGAATTCAGGAATCTAGGAAGACCTAGAAAGAGCAGTGCCTACGTTCTATTGAGTTTCCTAAAACTGCCCCCTTCGACTTTTTTTTTATATATGTTTCAATCTGTATTCAGACACCATTCTTTCTCTGGGGATAGATAACATTTTTCATCATAAATCCTTCAGAGTTGTCTTGGATCACTATGTTAATGAGAATAACTAAGTCATTCACAGATGATCATCTAACAATATTGCTGTTACTTTGTACGCAGTACATTTCACTTTGCATCAGCCCACGTGAGTCTTTCCAGGTTTTTCTGAGAGCGTCCTGCTCATTCATTCTTTTAGTACAATGTTATTTTACAATAATCAACTTTTATTTTCTTGCAGGAGAGAAACCTCACAAGTGTCAGGTGTGTGGGAAGGCTTTCAGCCAGAGCTCCAACCTGATCACCCACAGTCGCAAACACACGGGCTTCAAACCCTTTAGCTGTGAGCTCTGTGCCAAGGGCTTCCAGCGCAAGGTAGACCTTCGGCGCCACCGGGAAAGCCAGCACAGCCTCAAATGAATGATGTTTCCTCATTGCAAACCCCAGCTGGCCAGGACCTCCCCTGCTGAACCTCAAGAGAGGTTGGATGCCTCTGCACTTTGGGTTCTTCCAGTGTGGATGATGTTTCAGAAGAAAAGAGCACACATAGATTGGAAGCCAGGTCACTTGGACTATAGTCTGAATTGTACCACTCACTCTATCTCTTTGGACCTCAGTTTATTCATCTGTAAAATGAAGGGTTTGGGTTAGGTATTTACTAAAATGCTATTTTGGCCATAACTTGAACTTGAACTGGATCTGGTTCACTTTAGAGAGATAGAGATGGAGTGAGCCAGAGATTGGAAGAGAGGCAGGGGGAAAAGCCCTACCATCCTTTCTTTGGCTGCAAATTCATTCACTCGTTTGACTAACATTTATTGAGTATATTCTATGTGTAAGGCTCTGTGATGAGAACTGTTGAGGTAGTTTGGTCTTGATTTTTATATTCTTTTTTTCCAAAGATAATTGGTGTGGCTCCTTAGCTCTAGTAGGAAGCACAAGAGACCAGTCCCAGCTGGTACGGTTCTCCATTAAGGCCCTAGCCCTTCTATCTAGGACACAGAACCATGTACTTTCAGCAGCAACTTCTATGTTCTATACTCCGTCCTTTTGGGCATTGTAAAATAAAATATAAACTGAAGAAAGTAAGTGATCTCTGGGGTCATTGTGTTTCCTGCCTTTGTAGAGTGTCTCCTTTAGCTAAGGACCTAATATGAGAGTTATCCTGGGACCCTCATTATTAAGAGTTGATGATGACTCAGTCCCTGGATTCATTCCATAGTTTCCTGCACCTTACCACCCATATTCTCAGTCTTTGCTCCTCTTCCACCATGACCCCAAAGACCTGTTATTTCTCAGGGAATCCATCCTAAGATCTTACTCCTTCAAGGTCTGAAGATCACTCTCCACCCCCACCCCCATCCCCACCCATGGCCATCAACTGACATTTCAGGGCACTAAGCATGGAAAGGCCAAATATACTCGGTGCCTTCCTCAGCCATAAACACAAATCTGGAGCCAGGCACACAATGGGACTCTGATGGATATTTCCATTCTTATTTATGATTTGCATAGGATGGGATTTCTGAGTCTCCTGCCCTTACAGTTCCAGACTGTCTGTGTGCTTCTGAACCAGACCATGCTAGGTTAGAAGCTGTGGGTCGACTGTGTATTCTCAGACTTCAAGTCTGGAGGTGACTAATCAAAGAAAGGGAGAAATGAAACTTCCAGCATTACTTTCCGGGATCATCCCCGATCCTCCTCACTGATAGGATGTTCCTTCCCAGGGTTCTCTTCAGCTTCCTTCTCTGAGGTCTAGGCTAAGAAATCCTTTCAGTACAGACACCTTCTTCAATCCCACAGTCCATGAGTCTAGATCTTGAGAATCTGGTCTGACTCAGGTTTCTGAGCCTGAGGAAGGACTGGATTCCTATCTTCCAGATTTACCTTTCTCCAGTAAAGTCAGTAACAATAAAAGATCTCATTTGGGGAAGAGTTTTAATGTACTGTTTTCTCTGCAGATCCCTAGTCTGTTCTAAGTTCAACCCTGGGGACCTAAGGAAAGCAAGTTTGAAGTTGAGACTCTGAAGATAATGGAGCCTGGTATAGGGGATGATGTGAAGGATGAGTTGGATTTCAACAGATGAGAGATAGAGAGAATATTCCAGAAGAAAACAATAGCATAATCCAAAGCATGGAGATAGAAAGTTCAGGTCATGTTTGGGGAACAAAGAGTAGGTCAGTTTGAGTGGAATGTTCCCCATCTTAGATGACATGTTTTGGGCCTCCTTGGACCTTTATAATCTGATTAATTAATTCATACTTTGTTGATAGGAAAAGGCCAGATTGAGATTCTGAGAACCTTCCCTGTTCACTAAGAGGTCTTTTGGAAACAATGGCCCCATCTTTGTTTAATTCTGAAGTAACTGCTGTGAAAAATTCAGGTCAAGTAAGAGTATAAGGATGAACACACATTGTAAGTCAGGGGAGGGAGATATTTAGGAAAAGATACTTGGGCTCTGAAAAGAAGGCAGAACAAAGACTGTTTTATGATTTCAACTTGGATTATTGTTCCCATTGGCTAAACATCTGTTAACTGATTTGTTTTGATTTGTTTTGACTCTTTGGGAGAATCTTATCTTTTTTCCAACATGAATTCCAAGCTCTGAGCTTTAGAGCCCCAACCACAAAGCTCTAGGATTCATTAAATCATGGGCTGATTGACTTAACTTTGATCAAGAAAACATTTACTATGTGTAAAGTACTGGGGTAGGTGGGAGTGAGTACATTATGAGGTAGGTTGAGATACAATGGTTTCATAAGACAAGGTCAATTCCTTATGGAGTTTACAATCTAGTAGGATCTTGGACAGAGTAGAAAGACAAATTAATCTTTGCTCCTCAGATCTGAAGAAACAAGTAGCACATATATGAGGTAAATAATATTTGGATAGCCCCCAAACCTCTTAACTATTCTCTTTTCAGTGCTAAAGAGACTATCAAAATCCTTTTATTTCTGACTCTGGTCTGGCTCCTGTGAAGCCTGATTTAATTAGACTTTTCTTGGAGAGTGTGACCTCATAGAGACCCACCTGGTCCGTCTCTCCCAACATGCAAATTCTTTCCAGTTTGCTCTGCTCTGAGACTGGTCTCTCCTCTTCTTTCCTACATCCTCCCCCACCCCCTTGGTGGATGGTCAATGGAGGAACCAGATAACCTAAAACCCAATCTCAACTAACCTCAGAGGATGAAGAAAGAACTCCTTGTCAGTCTTTCTCCTTAGAACTCAACCTTTCTCCCCCTTTCTCCTCCTTGAAAAAAAAATTCTTTTGTGACAGCAGCAACAAATGTCCTGATATTGGTTCAGTTTTGTTTAACAAATAAGAGACATGCAAAGTAGATCCCTGCTTCCTAAGCCAGAGGAGGAAGATTGTGTGTGTGTGTGTGTGTGTGTGTGTGTGTGTGTGTGTGTGTGTGTTTAGAAGAGAAATTGTATTGCATACCTTCCTAGTGGCACCTCTCATTGCCCCAGAGACCCCAGCACTACCTTGATCATAGACAAAGGGTATTCTGACTCACTACCATCCATGGCAGAAAAATGACCAATTGCCATGTTCTCATCTTGGATATCCTTTTCACTTTTCAGCTAGGATCCTTTCCCTTTTAAGTCTGAGCAGAAGGGACCTCAGCTGTCAGAGCCAATCCTAGGGGAAGTTGGGAATCAGGGTAAAACCACAAAAGTGTGTCATGCCATCCTCTCTCCATACCACTCTCCTCACCAAAGGCTATGTTGTGTATTCAGGTGAAAGCTAGTTAAAGTGACTATCAAGGGAAGCCCTGAGAGAGGAAAGAAGAAGAGTTGACAGAATAAGACCCTGGTACAGATTCAGGGGTGTGTGTAGAAAACAGCCCAGGGAGATCTGGGCTTGTATTTGGCTGTGACACTTACAAGTGGAGTGATTGTAGACAAATTATTGTACCTTTTCGAGCCTAAGTTTTTTCATCTATAGAATGAGAGGGTTCTATTAGATGTCCTCTAAGGTCTTCTAAAAGTCTTTTAGGGAAGTTACCTGTAAGCCTTCACATACTGTAGAAATGTGAGTTGTTGTTCCTGCCAAGCAAATATAACCTACAATATAAGCTGAGTATATGTTTAAAGTCTTAGGTCTTTGATGGCAGGGCTTCTAAGATGCCTACTAGCTCTGAATCTATGATCTTATTGTAGCATATTCTCTGGGTTCATCCTCCCAACTTTTTTTTTTTCTTTAGGCAACTGGGGTTAAGTAACTTGCCCAGGGTCACACAGCTAGTAAGTGTCAAGTGTTTGGTCTGAGGCCAGATTTGAACTCAGGTCCTCCTGACTTCAGGGTCAATGCTCTATCCACTGCGCCATCTAGCTGCCCCAATCCTCCCACCTTTCACTGGACTAGCAGATGAGGTTCCCCAGGGAGGGCAATGATTATTGCCTCCTCAGGATTCCAGGAGTGATCCTCATGGATTGGGTTTTTGATTCCTGTGACAAATAAAACATACCTCATTTGGTATGTTCCCCGATATTGATCAGTTGATACTCATTAGTTTTTATAAAAAGGTATATATAGGCTGAGAAGGTATAGCAGGAACAGTAGTTACAAAATAATCCCTCCAAAGTGGTAGGTGCACTCTCCCCTTACATACACAAAAGTCCCTGGAACTGGACCTGGAAAGAGTAGAGCCTGGTATAGGGTATGAGTAGAAAGGGTGAGCTCAGACTTAAATGACAAAGGTTGTGAAGCATACACCTAGTCTGAGGGGTACTTCATGACTCTGGGCCCTGGGAATCCTTTTCATCCTTTTCATAGTTTACTTCTGAGTGACAGATTATTGATAACTGAGATGCTGTCTTTGCGCTCTTTTCCGGGTACATTGTCTCAGCTGATGGGTCAATCCCCTTCTGGGCTGGATCAAGCAAGTCACTCAGTTCCCACACTGGCTCCGAGTCAAACTGGACTTCCATTGCTACCAGTTCTGCTTATTGGTTGGCCTTAAGGTCTCTTCCAGTTTCACCATTTGCCTGAGCACCCCCTTCTCTGAACACTTATTCTCCCAAAATCAGGAAAGAACAAGACAAAAGAAACACAGGTACTATGTGTTCCTGGACACACTGTGGCAGGGTGGGAGATAAGACAGCTACCATCCCTTCCCCCACCCATTGGCTTGAAGCAGTTCTTGCCTTGTTTAGTCAATTGCCATTCATTAAGCTCCTACTATGTGCCAAGTACTGTGCCAAGTAAGTGCTAGGGATATAAAGAAAGGCAAAAGACAATCCCTGCCCTCAAGGAGCTTACAGTCTAATGGGGGAGACAACACACAAAGAACAATGTATGAACAAGATGTATAAGGGATAAATTGGGGACAATCAACAGAAAGAAGGCCCTAACATTAAGGGGCATTGGGAAAGGTTTCATGCATAAGATGGGACTTTAGCTGAGACTTGAGGGAAGGCAAGGGAACAAGGAAGTGGAGAAAAGAAGGGAAATGGTTCCAGGCATTAGGGACAGCAAGTGAAAATTCCTAGATTTGGGAGATGGAGTATTGTATGCTGAAGGACAACAAGGAGGTAAGTGTTACTAGAGTGTGTGGGAGGGGAGGGTCAAGGTGTAATGTGTAAAAAGATTGGAAAGGTAGGAAGGAGCCAAGTTAAAGAGGACTAAAAAAACACAACTCCCCTCTCCCTAGAGGATTTTATATTTGATTCTGTAGGCAATAGGGAGCCACTGGGGATTGATTGAAAGGGTGAGAAAGAGAAACATGGCCGGAATTGTGCAGCACTTCTTAAACTGTGGGTTTCGACCCCATATGAGGTCACAAAAAATTTGACAACAATAAAAGGTTTCTGAACATGCAACAACCAAAAATTAATTAAAAATCAAACTCTTAATGGATCTAAAGTGCTTCTGGCAGTGCTTGCCCACGTTGTATCATGCAATTTAACTGCAGCCTTGGTTCTGAACACAGAAGCATTGTGCATGCTTCAGGCCAAGGAACAAACACTGCCCAAACGTGAAAAGGGGTCTTGAGTGGAAAAAGTTTAAGAAG